TAATGCGTGTTATTATATGCAGAAAAATTGTTGTTATAGATGGTTTTGTGTGCGCAAACTACTCTTGAGAATTTTCCATTAAGACTGCATTTGTATATGGGTTTTAAATCTGTCGAATATTCGGACAATTTTCAGATTAATATGATCGTTTCTTTCTTATGCAAGATTTTCAAAATCTATACCGATATTGAAACAATTTAGGCATCTCGGAGGGCATAAGGTATCTAAACGGAAGCGACCCGAATCCACATTCGCCGCCCTCTGTCCTGGGAATCTCACCAACAGGTCGGCCGAACTCGCCAGGTCTAGTCGGTTTTTGCTTCGAGTTATTGCTGTGTGCTAGAATGCCAACATATGCGCGGAAATCTTGTGATTTTTGCGTTGTATGGTTAGGCGGACTCTTTGTCTATGCGCCCAGATTGGAAACCGATTTGTCAACGGGTGCTGTCTGCTGCAAATCTGCGTAGTCGTTGCGCTGTTTGTGAACCGGTCCCATTCTTGATGGCGTCTCTTTAAAGATCGTTATGTTTTTCATCTCGCAAGCATCTGTGCAGTTATCAAAACGATGCATGTCGAGAAGTTATCGATGCGCGCGACAGTCATGACATCAATATATCAGTCTTCGTTAAGGGAGTCACATATAGTCTGGCAATCCTATGAAGCTTTACCTTGTTTTAGTGTTCTGTCCATGAATTTTACATTAAGGGTTTGATACGAACTCAGAGAAGCCAATCAATAGAAAACGAACAAACACGGCATCTAGTGGTAGTGGAGGTGAAAAAAGGACGGCGAACAAGGTATATTTTCATATTCTCTTAATTTAATTGAAATTCTCCTTACCTTAGATACGTTTTCTGTTACATTTACCAAGAAATTCCAGATTTGTCGTGTTTGTGGTGATAAAGCCTTTAGCTACAACTTCAATGTAATCACGTGCGAATCGTGCAAAGCATTCTTTAGGAGAAATGCTAATAAAGTAAGACATATTATTGGAACAAGGTTTTTTTTTTTGCTTTGATTTCTGTGTCTTTCGTGAACCTTTTGTAGATTTTTACCTTTTTTTATTTGCAATTCTCTCATTTACATGGAGATGATTGCGATATATTAAAACTCTATCGATTATAAGATGGATATTGTTTACGCAAAGGGTGTTAACTGCGCACGATCTCAAAAGACAGCTGAGGGAGTGTTCATGTGAAAGTTCTTAGTGGTATATGTTTAGGAAAGAGAAATTCGATGTCCATTCAATGAGCAGTGTGAAATCAACGTGGTATCTCGTCGATTTTGTCAACGATGTCGACTAGCAAAGTGTTTTGATGTAGGTATTATTCTACTTCAGAGACCACTGTCTGTCCTTCTAATTGTTTCCTGCTATTGCATTTAATGTAACTTTTTGTTGTTTAAGAGCAAATTAATATAGAGGAAGTGCGCAAGTAATTTTTCTCTTAGGTTGGAATGAAGAAAGAATGGATTATGTCCGACGAAGCACGGTTGGAAAAGAAGCAACGTGTTGAAGAGAACCGCGAGCGTCGTTTAGCCGATGCAATGGCACGTTCTGACGTGGTTGAGGA